TGTCTTGAGCCAACCTTACTGTCTCTTGACACACTTAGCCCTATTACCCCCGTCACTGAATCAATCCATTTCATCCAGGGTTTTCCTCTCCTGTGCTGTTCACTCCACCCTCCCAAGCATGATGTCCCTCTCCAAGGATTGGTCCCTCCTTCCCACATCCGCAAAGTACGTCAGATGAAGCTTCAGAATCCTTGCCTCCAAGGAGAAGCCTGGTTTCACCCTCTCTAGGACAAACCTGTTTGCCTAGCAGTCCATGGTATATTCAACACTCCTCTAGCACCAAAGCTCAAAGGATGTTTGATGAATGATGGAAGCTGACATCTGAAACTATTTCTTGGCTTTGTGAAATTCTTGAATCCAGTAGAAATTGTTGAGGCACTAATCTAGAATTTTTGTGCATTGATTATAGTGCTCTGAGACAAGAAACTTGGAATATTTACAGAGGTTATAAGGCAGCTTTCCTAAAGGAAATCTAAATGCAGGCAGATTCATTTTTTGGTTTTTTTTTAAAGTTCATTCGTCAAGAGATGTGCAACCCATCTGCCAGCAGAGAGCTTGGGAGATGCTTCTTCCTTTGTTACCTGGACCTATGCATCTTGAACTGGAAACCGAATGAGGGATCTCTTCCAGGGTGTCTTAGAGGTGACCGAGTCAGCCGTTGGATTTGGCTGAAGCAAGTGTGCATGACAGACTGAACTGTGACTCTCAATCACCCAGAGAGTAAGGCAGATATATTTTGGTAGAACATACAAGCCAAGGTGGCTGAAGACTCAAAGTGCTAGCTTGCATCTTGAACCCCAAAGAGATCTACTAAGTGGGGCTCTTGTACTGAAGTATATTTTAAAAAATTAATTAGGAGTATATTTTTAGAACTATTGTTATTTTTAGCTCTGATAACAAAGTTTCTGCCTATTATAATGTGTACCAACTATTGAATGGAAAACCCATTTTCTCTGTAAACCTTCATTCAGAATAACAATAAAAAGTTAAATAAAAGTTTCTGACTATACAATATAATGTAAAGCTATTCTTTTTTGTTAATAGATACATCACTGTTTTGTGTTGTTTTTTTTTGTTTTGTTTTTTTATTTTGGGCCACTCATTTTCTGTTTTAACTCGGGATTCTGGTTTCTAGCAGTCTTCACAGAAGTATCATCTGTAGTATAGCAAGTGACTGTAGGCTATATAGTTCATAAGGAAACAATGGAGTGTTGGCTTGTTTGGTGATTTTTGGTTTTTTGCCACCTTACATACCCCCACCCCCACCCCCACCCCAAGCTTTTTTTCTTAACCAATGCATTATGGTAAAATTTAAAACTGGCTGTATAGTAAAAAACTTGTACATGGCCCAAAGCTGAAAGCTGTTCCGGCCCTGGTGGCAGGGTAGAATACTACCTGGTGATATGCAAGGATGGAGAAAGCCAGTACAAGAAAGTTTGCAACATTCCCCTTTGGAATGCTCATGTTGAGTCAAGCTCCTGGTTATGCTTAAAGAAGAGTCATAATGTCTGTTCATTTCAGGGCCCTGGGCTACTCCAAAGAATACATGGTAGCTACTCAGGATATTTCATCAGACAAACATTAACCACATACATGTTAAATAGTGAGAGAACATTCCCACCCATTGTTTTGGTCTTTCATGGTGTTCTTAAACAAGTACTGGTATCAGATATGTGTGGAAAATGGCTACAAATCAGCAGGATATATAAGCAGCCATCTGGCCTTACATAGAGATACCAAGTACTGCTAGGTCGGGAGAAATCCTATAAGGACATCTTCAAATGAGGCTTAAATTAGCCCATGTGTTTGACTGAACTCCTGCAGTGGGTTTGGCACTGGGAATGAATGCAGCTTGAAAATAAAAGGCACCATCCTTGCCCATAGGGAGTACACAGTCTATTTTGGGGATATAGTAAAATACATGGATTTACAAAAGAAGGGGGGAAAAATTCACCCCAAACTGAAACTCCGTAAGGTAGTAAGTACTACACGAGCGGTTTAGATAATTCAGGGCCTTTGATGTGATGGCCAGGAAATAGAAATAAGTGGAACACGGTTATCAGCTTTTGAACCAAGATTTCAGCATGACAGTTTAGCAAAGGAGCAAACTAGAGGGCAGTGTATGCGCGTTCTGGGGCAAGGGATAGTGGTTGCTTATATCTTTTCCGCCCACTGCTATACTCACAGCTGGTAGTCATTTAATCAGCAGCAGTTCCAGCCATAGAGGACAGCAAGATAAATGTGTGGTATAGATTCAACTGAGAATCTGGGCTCAAGCCTGTTCTCAGACTTTCAAAGCAAAGTATCATACAGAACTGAAGGAAAGGTCACCTGAGCAGGAGGCTAGATAAAGACTAGGAAACTTTGGGGAAGGTTTAACTATCTGGAGGTGATAATAGCAGAACCAGAAATCTTAATTCCCACAGATTGTCGAAGGTTGGTGAGATTGGATCTCCTAGCATGGCAGGTGTCACCTCTTACCTTGGGGATCCTCAGGCATTCTCGGGAGTCTGTCTGCGTGGATGGGTTGAGGCAGGAAGGGCAGGGAAGATAGCTAGTGGGCGACTTGGCTGAGGTTGAGCCAGGCCCGCGCCCTCTCCCTAGAGCCCTCTGGGTCATGGGCAGGGCTAATCTGGGGGAACCTACTGAGAGCACCAAGCCTGGCTCATTAGTGGATGTTTGGAGAGGGCTTTGAAGATGAAACACTCCATAAGTGCTGGTTGTTTCTGTTTTTTGGACAAACTAGTACTTTGGTCTCCAGGGGCTGTTGATCTGGCTCTTTTGCACTAGTTTGGAATTTGCTGCAAACTGAGAAGAGTAGGGGGGAAAACCAAAGCAAGCAAACAAACCTGCAGAAGTTTTTGAAACAACGACCAAACTTGCATCAAATGTCCATGCTTTAGCTTGTGAGATCTCTCTGCATCTACCTTTCACATTCTTGGGTTTAAATGCACTTTGTCTTGACCTGTTCCTTTGCCTGCTGGGTTTGGGGTGTGTGTGTCTCTCTGGTTTCCAGACTCTATAGAGAATGCCAGCAGCTGGCATATGGTGATTGCTGAATAAGCTGCCCGCTGACGCATGCCTCCTGCAGGCACAGAGGACTGTCTAGCACTGGAGATTCTGTACCCTCATGTCATTATTGTTTCAAAGAGGCATTTCTGTGGTTGCCCTGTGCTATAGAGGGAGGCAGTAAAAGAGGGAGTGAATGAAGGAATCTATGAGTCTGTTGTTGAAGGCACTGGCTGCGTAGATAGACATTTTGTGCCTTCAGTGATCCTTATGCCCCACTTCATTCTTTCAGCAGGAATATGAGTGCCTCATATATACCAGGCATCCTGTCTGTGAGGGCTGTCTCATAGTGCCAGAAAAGACCCTGTCAGTTAATTTAGTTTCCAGCTGCTATGTGCCAGGCACTATTCATGGTATAGGAGACATAGCAGTGACCAAAACTAGGAACTGACGTACTAGGAAGAGTAAAATAGTACAGCAAGAATAAAATATGTAATATATGAGATAGTGTTAAGTAATATATAGAAAAGTGGGACACATAGGGTATTGAATGGAGTATGTTTTCTATAGGTGATTATGTACAACTAGGGGGAGGATGGATTGAGCAAGACCTTGTAGGACATGCATGACAGACTTTGGATTTCACTAAAAGGGAAAAAAACCAAGAGAGGATTTTGAATAGAGGAATAATATGACATTACTTTGGGTTTATAATTACTCTGACTGCTATTTGGAGAGTAGATTGGAAGAGGTTAGGGAAGAAGTAGGTACAGGAGGGGTACCTCAGTGCATGCAGGTAAGTATGTCGAGCAGCTTTCCTTGGATGGGTAAGGATTTACTCTGCTGAGAAGTGAAGGATGCCCCAATTCTCGGTATGGCTAGGGTACAACTTCAGCAGTAGCTATTTTACAGAGTAGAAAGAGTCAATCTTGCTTAGGAGTGCTGCTGCCCCCTTTCTCTCTCAGTTATTTTAGTGTATATAAAGAAAAAGGGAATTTAAAAAAATACGGGGAAGGAACAAACAGATTGTCTTGATTACAGCAGAGAGTACAAACCTTGGGAACCTGGCAAGCCTGAACCTTGTCAGAAGTCACAGAGAGCCACTCCTCATTCCACTCCCTCCTCTTCCACCCTTTCTAGAAGTCTCAGGCTGAGGTTGAGGGAGGGAGGAGCGTTAATGATGTTCCCACAGTGCCTTTGGATACAGTATAGCATGTCAGAACTGAAGGGACTTTATAAAATCATCTTGTCTAGCACCTTCAATTTACAATTGCAGATCTGTAAAGGTGGAGTAATCTGTTGATGTCACACAGTTGTTTACTGCTTTGACTCTGGATATGTATGTTGTTTTGTGCTGTTGCATCGCCTGCAACTCATATTGACCCTATGTACAACAGCCCTAAACCCTGCTCTGTCCTTTGCCAGTGGCACTGTCTCCAACATACCCACCCCAATAACCCCAGTCACTTAATGAATCCACCTCATAAAGGGTCTTCCTCTCCTGCACTGTCTCTCCACCCTCCTGAACATGACGTCCTTCTCCAAGGATTGGTCCCTCCTTGCAACATGTCCAAAGTATGTCAGACAAAGCTTCAGAATCCTTGCTTCCAAGGAGCAGCCTGGTTTAACTCTCTCTAGGACGAACCTGTTCATTTTCTTAGCAGCCCATGGTATATTCAATACTCTTCTACAACACCACAGCTCAAAGACATCAGTTCTCCTTCTATCCTCCCTAGTCATTGTTCAGCTTTCTGTCTCAGTAAGTAGTTGCAAAGACCATAGCCTGTATCAGGCACACCTTGGTCTCCAGTGACAGCATTGCTTTTTATTACTTTGGAGTGGTCTCTAACATGGGTCTTGATATTAAGTCTCCATGGGCTTTCTGTTGGTTCTTAGTGGACTTCAGTGTTCCTTTGACAAACTGTATGTACATGAAGCCCTAACAAGCAAATGGTGGTAACAAGCTTCGATTTTCTTTGCCTAAGGTTAAGTCTTCCACACCAGGGACGAGGCCCAAACCAGATTTCCACTGCCCCAGTTGGGCTTCACTGTCCTCAGAAAGCAGCTGCTGTGATCATGGGGAATATCTTTGGAAACCTTCTTAAGAGCCTGATTGGGAAGAAGGAGATGCGCATCCTGATGGTGGGCCTTGATGCTGCAGGGAAGACCACCATCCTGTACAAGCTAAAACTAGGGGAGATCGTCACCACCATCCCTACCATTGGTAAGGGTACAATTTGCATGTGGGCTTTCATGCTAAAGGCTGAGATAGGGCAGACAGCCTATTTCTAGATCTCCCCACCTGGCCTCTTCTCCCCAGGCAAGTCCATGCAGTCTGTGGGGTTCAGGAAAAAAGATTATTTAGCTCACTAGCAGGTGCTAGGACTCTGTTTGCCCACCTACCCTGGCCCTCCCCAATGTGGGGAACTTCCACAGCCTGGCACACAACAGTCACCCTCAGGCACCAGAGTTGGTTTGTTCTCTGTGTTGTTTGGGAAGCAGGTGAAGGGGCTTTGATGTTTCTGCCAGAGGCCTGAAATTGCTTCAGTTTAGATCTTTGGTGGCCCTGATCATGGTTAAGACCTGTTTATGGGAAGGAGAACATTTGCCGTATGAATGGGGCTCCTGATAGTTTTCCATTTGGGGTTGCTGGGATCGAGCTTGCTTTACTGATTTCATTCTGCCTCACTTTGCTCAGACAGACTCTGAGTAGCTGAGGTGTGTAGGAGTGAGGCCAAACTATAGAGGAGGAAGAGAATGGGTGGAGAAGGCTAGCTCAAGTTACCTATGCAATTGTCCTTCTTGTCAACTTCCACTTTATAGCTTTTAAGCTACTATTCGAGAAACACCAGGTCTGGGGAAATTTTAGCCTTTTTTTGCTGGGGTCATGGCCAAGTCTGGGGGAAATAGAAACAAACCCATCAGGACATTGTTTCCAGGCTTGATATTTGAGGTCTAGTGGCCAATACCTACTTTTTCCAAAGGATTCAATGTGGAGACAGTGGAATACAAGAACATCAGCTTCACAGTGTGGGACGTGGGTGGCCAAGACAAGATTCGGCCTCTCTGGAGACACTACTTCCAGAACACACAAGGTATGGCATACGAACTGTCCAGGAATGGGCACACCCTTGGTGTGAGCAGAGTGTAGCAATTTTCCTTGGATATAGGCTGCCAATTCTTGCCCTGCTAGGCTGCAGCTTCTTGGGGTTGGGGAAAGGAGGCCGAAGGGAACAGCCATTTGGGTGGTATGAGGACCAGGATGTATTCTGGTATTGGTGAGGGAGGGTCATCTCTTACCTCTGTGCAGCCATGCTCTCCCTCCCTAGGGTTGATATTTGTGGTGGACAGCAATGATCGAGAGCGAGTAAATGAGGCCCGAGAGGAGCTGATGAGGATGCTGGCGGAGGACGAGCTTCGGGATGCTGTGCTCCTTGTTTTTGCAAACAAACAGGTATAACTTCTCCTCACCCTAGAATTTGGGAGAGAGCAGCTTGGCCATGGAAATCATGGGGCCTTGGGGCTCACTGTATGTGAAGCCCTATGACTGCACACTCAGGGAGTGTGGGAAATAGGAGCAATCAGCTTACTTATGCCACTCTTCTGGTCCCCACACTTACCTTTTTAAAAAAAAACAAACAGCCCTCTAGCCCTCCAGGCTTGTGTGGTAAATATATCACATCAGAGCACTGGCTTATCTTCCCTGTTTTTTTGCTTTATTGGAGCTGCCTGTGCTCCTAGGGTCACACAGCATGATCCTTCACCTAGTCTGAACCACCTCTCCGCTTTGCTATTAGCCCCACTTTTGTTTCCCAACTCCCCAGTAGAATGACCTCTAACACTTGGATCTTAAGTTTTGGGGTGACTAAGTCCAAACATCTCCTTAGGATATGTCCTGGTTTTCTATTGGAGAATAGAAATATGGGAGGTCTAATTTTTTTTCTTTTTGGTGAATGGAGCTCCTGAGGCTCCTTTTATTATTATTATTAATTTTCTTTTACATTGTGTTTAATTCATGCACATTGTGTTTTGTACAATAATTCATAAACATTGATTGATTACCACTGCTGAGGCTTCTTTTTTGTGTGTCTTCTTTCTACTGCAGGATCTGCCTAATGCTATGAATGCTGCAGAGATCACAGACAAGCTGGGCCTCCATTCCCTTCGTCATCGCAACTGGTATATTCAGGCCACCTGTGCCACCAGTGGGGACGGGCTGTATGAAGGCCTGGACTGGTTGGCCAATCAACTAAAAAACAAGAAGTGAGAGCCAGACAGTCCTATCTGACTGCCCCACCCATCCCTGACACGCCTGTCTCCCTACCCTTTTCTTCCAACTGCGAGTGTGGCAAGGGCCCTGGATACCATGTCCGTACATCCAGCAAGAACCTTGCCTCTCATCCCATCCCCAGCCCCTCCCCTCCTCTGTCCACTGACATGACCAGTCCAGTTTCCCACTTGCTGTCCTGATGTTGAATCATTCCAATTAACTGGATTTAAAACAAAACCAAGATTGTTATAGTTTCATGGGATGGCCCTCCACCCCCTCTCACTCCCTAGTGTTTGGGGGCGGGTGGGTGGTGGGATATTTTCTCTCTTTGCTTTGTTTGGCTCTGGTTGCTGTGTTCTTGGCATCTGAATTCCTTTCCTGTTCCCCAAAACCCATCTCTTACTTCCTGCCTCCCCTTTCTTTGCCACCCTCTTCCTGTTCTACATGGAGATTGCACGGGCCTCTCTGTGTGTGCGTGCATGTGTGCGTGTGTATATACATGTATGTTTGTATATGTATGTGTGTGTGTGTGTGTGTGTGTGTGTGTGTGTGTGTGTGTATTTATTTGTGGGGGCCAGGGAGAAGGGTGGAGGAGGTGGAGTGCAGCTCAGGCTCAGAGCCAGGACACTGCCCACTCTACCCTATCTTCTGCCCCTCCCATGTTTGTGAGATAAAGGGAAGAAGATGGCAGAGTTTTAGTCAGGCTGGGCTGCCCTAATCTTAGACTCTTGGTTTCTATTCTTTCTTCAGGTAGATTTCCTGGGTGATAGGACAGATGAAAGATTCTCTATCACCCTCTTTCTTGTATCCCTCTCCCCACTTCACTTAGGGCAGGAAGGTGACATTTATCTCTAGAAGACTGTTCCCAAGGAGATGCTATTCTTCTCTGCCTTGTTAGTAGGAAGGAGAGAGGAACCCACTCACTCTTACCAGCCCAAAATGTTCAAGTGGTCCTCCCCCACCATACTTAGATCTGTTTCTCAGGAACTTGAGGGAGAGGTGGGGGAAGCAAGCCCATGGTGTATATTTAGGACCCAGGGCACTGTGGGGAAGGCCTCAGGTTTTTCCATCTTTATTCCCTTATATTACTAGGAGAAACTGAGACATGGACCAGTCCCACTCCTGTCTTCCTGCCCCTTTATCCCTACCTAACCTTTTTCTCTGGTCCTGAGGGCTTGAATTTTATCACCCAAGTAGTCCTGCTGCCCTTACCAGGGCTGGCTGGGAGGGAGGTGTAATGAAGATAACAGACTTTAGTATCACGCTCCTTATTTCTTTACTTTTTTTTAGTCAAGGTTGTGCTAAAGGATAAAGATTTTCTATACTGTTCCAGGCCCTCAGACTGTCTTGGCCCTTACCAATAGCATTCCCATGCTTCCATACCCATTTCTCATAAGTGGTCCTGGCATTTGGAGTGGAGGAAATAGAACCCTGAAGTTGGTGTTAATGCTAGGGGATGCAGTATGCAGGCCCCCTCCTCCTCCCTGATAATGATATAATCCTTCAGAAGCTGCTGCTACACTTTTCCTCTGTGTGTACAGGGGGTGCTTGTGCCTGTGGGCCTGCCCTGGGTTCTGATCTCTGTGGTTTCTGTGAAGCCATAGCTTCTCTTTGGGCTCCTGTGTGTGCTGGCTGCGCTCTGAGCTCAAGATGGCTACCCATAACCCTTCTGAGGTCAGGATCCAGAGTCTCCCTACAGCATGACTGAGGGACCCCTTTCCAGAAGGGCTGCCCCAAGCCCCACCTCCATGGGACCAGATTTCCTGCCTCTTCTGTCTAAAGCAAGCAGTCTAATACCCCCCTTACCCAGCCATAGATTGAACTGTGAAAGAAGTTCCAGGGGCATTTCCCTCAGTGCCAGTTATTTAGTGATGTGTTTCAAGATACAGTTGGTGTATGCAGGCCTGTGTGTGTTTGCGTGTGTGTATGTTGGCAGGCATGGAGCTGGAGGTTCTAGTTCATTTAAAAATGTCTTCATTCCTCACCCTACAGATGCTCCCTTCCACTTTTTCTTTCCTCCTGTCTTTATTCCCATTGATTTTCTGCATCCCGCTCCTGTTGTTATCTTCCCTGAACTCTCTACTTTGCCTTCTCATTTACTACTGCAGCCTGTTTGTCTCTTTCTCTTGTTTCTTTCCTGCACTTTGTTTCCTGTGGTTGCTTGCTTTTGTTTCTCTCCACTCTGAATCTTTGTGGTTGGTGAAGTTTTGCCTGTTGTTATGTCTTTGTACTGTCTTTGACCAATCCTAGTTAGATGTCAATCCAAAACAAGTTCTATTCATTTCGGGCCTCTACCCTTACCTTTATTTTGTGGTCATCCAGGGACCACTTTGGTGTTGCAAATATTAAGCAGTAGCCTTGGAGGTTAGCCATGGTGCTGGTCTGTTCAGCGAGGAGGGGGGCAATAAGTGGTCTTTTTGGCGTCCATGGCTGCTAGGCCCTTGGCAGGGCCATTCCTAGGCTAGGAGGTGGTCTTTCCTGCATTCCCATTGAACTAGCAGCTCTCTTGGGATTGAGGCTTTCATTCCATTCCTGCCCAGTCCCCACCACCTCACCCTCTTCACCCCACCACTTCTGCTGTGTTTGATTTTAGAGTTTTTCTTGTTCTAGCCTTTCTTCTCCCTGGGGTTTCCCCTCCCTCAAAGTTTGTTTGTGGTGTTATAGTGGTAACTGCAGTCCTGAACTGGTTGTTTTCTTCTTTTTTCCCCCTCCTCTGGAATGTAGATTGTATATGTTTAATAGCTCACCTTCTTTGTCCTTGCTCAAAATGTGGGATACGCAATGACTGTGACCCTGGTTGGAAATTAAACTTGTTTTATGCAGCTGTGGAGCAGACCTTTATCCTTGGGGTACAGCAGTCCGGGACAGTGGTTCCTGGCGAGGGCAGTTTGGTCTATAGTCCCTTACTCTGGACTGTCCCTTTCTCAGTAGAGGGGTAAAGGGAAAACTTGACTGGGTAGAGAGTTTTTGGAGAAACAGGCCCATCTCCTTTCCTCCCTTCATATCCCAAGGGAAGCTTAAACGAATTGAACTCCAGAATTGAAGGCTTCCTGACTTTGCTTTTCTAGTTCTAAATGATTTAACCCTGGTTAGCCTCACAATGAAATGTGTGAGAACTAGGACTCTAGGGGGCTACCTTGTTTTTCTGGATCTTGAGAGGTTTTTGCCTTTGCCAAGGCACAGGCTTACCTTTTTCCTCTATTGCCAATTATTGGGAAATATTTGAGTGTTTCTTCTCTAACAGGTTTCTATCTTAGAGAACATTCAGCTTCTCAGGTTTTACTGTTGTTGATAGATTGTGGGGATGTCAGTGGCTGAAGGGCTGTGAACTTGTGCCCCATCCTGCCGCTTCTTATATCTCCTTAGACCTACTACTTGGTACTTGTAGTTAGAGCAGGGTTTGCTGTATTTCTGCTATAATTCCAATTAATCTGTAGATAGAAGCCCCCTTTACCCACCCACTGGAATTTGGCTGTGAACAAGCATGAAGGGTAGATGTCCGGGCAGTGTGATGAACTAGATTTGCTTATAACTGATGGCCCTGTAGCCACTCTACTTCGGACATGTGCTTCACCATTGTCTGGATGCCAAACCTCATCCACAGAGAAAAGACCTTAGCCTTCCAGCCTACTCCCACTACTACATTTTCCTCTCCTGCTACTACTGTTTGACTCTAGGCAAAGAAGGGGATCATGTCACCATTGGGTGGGTGAGGTCTAAGTGAGCCAGCAGACCTACCTCTCACTGCTCTTTGAAGCTTTGAGGACAGAGGTCTTCTCGTCTTCTTCTTGTGGGAAAAGGGCAGGATTGAGGTATGTAATATGTTTGAGAGACACAAATACCAGTGTGAAGTATATAATTTGTGTTCAGTCACCTCCCGGCTGCCTCTTCCCCAGTTTCCCCTGTCAGCCCCTCCCCAGATATTATTAGTAAGCCATCACTGTCAGGGACCAGGGAGTGTGTCTGTCCTCAAGCTTCTCTAACAAGACACCTTTTTTTATTTTATTGTTTTTTATTTTATTATTTTTGTGTGCGTGTACCATCAAATCAGATCTGACTGGTACAGGAGGCGATTGTCCCTCCTTCCCCGGCAGAGCATCTGGTGGATTTGAACCATTCGCCTCTGGGATTGTAGTTGCAGCTCCTTGCCACTAGGCCACCAGAGCTCCCCTAACAAGACACCTTTTTATCAGCTCTATATTCTTCAAACCAACATCACAAGTAGATACACTTTTTTCCCTCCTTGATGTCTTGAAGTCCTGCTTGGAGACTAAATTGTTAATAAACTTGGAACACTTTTATCTTTGTACATGAATAAGTCGATAACTTTATGAGAAACAACATCTTCTATAATGGTAATAAAGAAGATTTAGCCTAATTTCAGGCCAATTGGGCTTTTATGAACTCTGATAAACTAATTTAGGGATTCTTGTTAGATGCCCGGAAGGAATTGGTGGAGGGAGCCCTCTTGTGGCAATTTTTTAAACTTTAAAACTTTTTTAGGAAAAGGAGACTAGAAGGGAAGAGGGAGGGCCTCATTGTAGCACCTAGCTCTTGAGATAAACAGTTTCATCTTTCCTAAATGTGAACAGTTTGTCAGACCTGAGGTCTATGTCAGGATATTCTGTATAAGAGTACTTCCAAAATGAGCCTGTAGAAACCCAGGAAAAAGGGTTGGATTGACCCAGATGGGTTAGAGCATTTTAGAGTATATAGGAGTAGTAACAGAGTGAGGTAAGAATGTGTAAGAGCTTGATATATACTCAGACCAGAAAGAAGTGTAAGGCCTGGAGGCTCAAGGAATTTTATTGTACCACTTTCTATTTGATGGTCAGATTTTTTTTTAGACTATCATCCAAAAAAATGGAACAAATATGTATTTAATTCCTTGTATATGCCCAGGCCTGTGCTAAGAATGAGCCAACACACTGTACTAGAATGGGCCACTGTATCTAGGGGTCATCTTCTGAGATGATCTGGAATTTGCTGGCATATCAATAGTGAGAATTAGGATCTGAGTAACTATAGGGAAAGCCTCTGCCTCCACTGCTGCTTA